TTCAGCGCCGCTCTCAATGCAACATCGGACAAACTGAAAGGGATAAACAGACGACCATTGCTGAGTTCAGATAAAAAGCATTAAGCAAATACAGTCGCATACTGGTATAACGGATAGACCTTCAGAGCATGTGTTACGCATGTCACAGAGAGGCTTTCTCCGAGTGTAATATTTGCTCCTGCAGGCAACGATCCCTTAGAGATTAAGGGCAGCTAAACAATGACTGGAGTGAAGTTATAAAGACCCTGAGCAGGGAGGTTGGTCATATAGAATATGTTAGGCTTCTCGGTTCGGGACTCTGGTCCTTTTTTATTACACATCAGTGTATGATGGGCAGCAGACGGGGTGAAACCCCATAGTCACGTAGACCTGCTGTTCAGTGATGGTAACCGATAACCTAAGCTCCGGGACTTTGAGTGCCGAACTACATAAGGACCCACTAGGTCATTCGTGGTATAGAACCGGGTGACAGCATTGGTCGTCGTGGATCTATTTAATTTCGACATAGTTTTAGTTGATTTGATTACTTACAGTTGTTAATAGCATTTGCAGCTTTTCAGTTCTTTCTCTCGTTTCTTCGTATCAGACTAGTTGTCAAACAACAGAAACAAGAAAACCCGGTGTATGAAAGTGATTTTACGAAACTGAACCGAAATCGCGTTGCTCACCGCGGTATTTCGACTCTGCAAGAGAAATCGACATGATTCGACCAGTACGTTATAATCGGACTGGAGTAGCGGCAAAGCGTCCAACAGGGGGTACTCATATGACGGGATTATTCCATCCGGTGTGAGTTGGTCCCCAGCACCCAAGTTAATCGTGCTTTGATCAGGACCGTGTTCCCCTGGTGGGGATGATACTAGCTCCGATTCCTTTCCAGATCGCATTTTGGCCTCCTACAGAGAGTAGCAGAACAGAAACGGAAAATAGGGGCGAAACAACACGAGCGAGATCTATAAAACAAGGACCAGCCGAAATTATTAATACTATTGTATAAGACCGGTGTTAGTGGTAGCAGAATGAAATGAACTACGAAAAGCTGGCACTTATGTTCCAACTATCGAGGAACACTAGCTATACATACCATCTGCTAATGGGTAGTGGAGATTTACAGAATGTTAACGGATTTCGAAAGAAGTGAAGCTTGAGATGAGGTTGATTACGAGTCACGGCATTCAATATGATAGACAGTACTTTAGCAGGTTGGAGCAAGAACACAGTTTGATCAAAATTCCGAATGACTCGTCAAATCAAATTGAAAAAGGAGCGTCTTTACTTCCTACAACCTAAGAAATAGCGACTTTTCTCTTTGAGACAGAGTATACTCTAATTCAAATGAAACCATAAAACGTTACTGGCATGTGCGGAAATAAAAAAGATACACTAACATCTCTGTATTCAGCGACTGCGTGCCCACACGCAAATGGAGATTCATAGGTCGGTTTTCTTGGTCGATGAAAGGCACACAAAGTTGCTTAACAGGGGCTCACTATTGAGCTAATGCGCTCCGTGAATTTAAATGACTTCACCAAAAGACCACAAACACAACTATAACTTCACTAGGCTAATGCCAGCTGGAAATGCAAAAGGGGCTAAAACGAACGAGTAAATCCATGCATGTATACATCCTAACAGTATTATTATTATCGTTTGAAGGTAAAACTGAACCATGACATCCAACATCGATTTATGTATCTTGTGACTCAATGACTTACAATGAGAGCGTTGCGGTCCGGATCAAGGAACTGTGTTCGAGCATACCGAGTGAGCATGTTCATCAGAATAACTTGACCCCATTCATCAACATCCATGAGCAAAGAGCACAGTTTTCGGTAGTGTCTACGAAAAAACAGAGACGACGACGATTAACACATTTTTATCGAATAGTGGTGGCTACTGGAGAACTGAATACACATATAATCAACATTGCTCTCAGGTCAATCTGTGTATGATAAAGCGTTCGACTGTCACACACGGGTAAACGTCGAAATTCGATTGATGTTTATCTATTCGCAAAATGAACTGTGGAAGTCAGACACGTAGACAGGTAGCGGATCACAAGCGGATGAGGACCGTGTGTGCCGGTAGTCAATCGTTTACAGTACAAGCTAACGTGGCAAAACCGAAAGTGGACGAAAAACTACAACCTCGACGGCACTGTAGAATGCATTAACAAAGGTCGAAAAAATGGAAGCAGTACCAACCTTCCACAATTGAATCATGAGTAAAGAATAGAGAAGCATGTTGTGGGATACAAACGCTTTGCGCGCTTCTTGGATTACCCACACAGAGATGTGAACTAGTAAAATATTTAAAAAGAGGTTTAAAGAGGTTGGAGAGAAAGTAGAGTTCTTCAGCTCCAGCTCTAACAAATATCCCACAAAGATTAATCAAAAGTGGAACGATCCGATCCTGTCGGAAGATCTTTTCCAGCCAGGATTACCTGATTAATCACATGCGGTATACGGTTTTATCCACCCCCGGGGAAAGNGGGACGAATGATCATTCTACAACGTCAAGATCGGATGGGGATTTTCCCACTCAACTCGTCAGGAGATATAACAGCACGGATCCTCATCCTCGTGCATGCACTTTCATTCGATTAAAACCAAACGACAATCGCAAACAAATTGCGTTCACTCTTCAAGCCTTCTGGGGGCACTATTCTACCGGCTGCGATTATTTTTCGTCTGCGCCGCTCGACAGAGAGAGGGAATCCCCCTATCTTTTGTGCATATCTCGGGTATTTTCTACCGTGTGCTTCATCGTGAACGACGGATAAAACTGACCACACACCTCTTACTCGTATCGCAAATGTCAAGATACCTAAGCAACTGTGCCGTCTTCGTCCGAGTAATTGTGACTCCATTTGTGTGCTGGTCTACCCCCCAAAATAAAGTTTGTTTTACTTCTACTTTCCTAGCAGGAAAACCCAGAACAGTCAGTTGTATCGTTACCGTATTGCATTTGCTTTTGTCTTGCTTTGATTTGATTTAACGCCATTGCTCTCTTGGTGTGTGAATTTCACGGGATTTAGACGTCAACAGTCGACCACTTACGGATGAATCAGATCTAGGCGTTCGGGGCAAACTTCTTCAAATGCCCGAACTGCACTGCCGATGACCAGTGTGGTTTTGTCCGCTAGAAGCCGTTCAATTATTTCGACCAACTGTTCTTTTTCACCCGGATCCAAACTGAAAGTGGAACAAAAAAAATATATTAACCTGTCTCTTCGATTAAAATAAAAACGCTGATTCGATCAAACCGGGTGACATCAGACAACTTCGACTAGAGTTGTGCAAACAGTTACCATATGTGACCAGGGGTACGACTGGAACCCATGTCACTCGTTAGGGTTGACAGTAACTATAATCGTGACCCCGTTCCACTTTTTAGTATTGTTTGGAGATTGGTCTAAACGACGCCCTAATTTGTCCGCTACTCCCGTATTCCTTCCGTTTCTGGTTTTCACTCGAATCTCCACTTTCGTCAGTGGCTCTAACAAGTTGTTAACCACTGAATAACTACCATAACTCGGGTAAAGCGCTTGTCACGGGGTCTCAACCAGGATGAGGGGAGGTGATACGCTGAAAAGCGCTTCAGCGATACATTACTATTTGTCTAGAGGACCACCTTCGAATAATAAGTGGCAATCCTGCGTTACTTACGTCTCCATTGCTGATGTGCCTGGTATAAAGCTAGTCTTTAATTGTTTACTGTTGGAAGCATAAATTTCAGTGTATCTGTTTGTATCTTGCAGTGCATCTTCCCCGGAGCACTCTCATTGTGCCGTCTCTTCCTTATTGTTAACACTTCGTGGGACTGATCTCTCAATGTTTTCCTACAAAGCTTGAGGTTCCCTGCTTGAAACGGATTGTGACGTTGATATCCATTTCTCCATACTAATGTGTTTTAGCGTTCCCCCTACATCAAGCTCAAATTTTATTCCTTTTAGCGGAAATCTCGCAAAAGTACGAATTAAAAAACGTTCACCAGTAAGTAAAAATTTTTTCACCGACTGTTTTAACAGGATTGCTGGGGTGGGGGTTGTGAGTTCAACTAGCGTGCTGTGAAAGTCACGGTAGGCGAAAGTAACAGCCTCCTTATAGGTTTAAACATTAACAGGTGTTCATGGTGATGTCAAGTAACTGAGTGGTAGGCAGCTTTGGTGTGATCGGGTTCAATACTAGACCTAACTTAGTGGGGTCTCGTGTGGGTCGTCACTCCAAGTCCCAGGGCCTAGGCTGCCGGTTTCCATCACTGAACAGCAGATCTTCGCGACTAAAAGGTCCACCTCGTCTAGTGTTCATCAAACCAGTGTACATATTGAAAAACGCTGAGCGTGTAGAACACACACAAGATGGGTACGGTTTCTGAACATTCATTGATCCTATTTAGCAAACGATTCTGACCGCCTTCCGTGAGATACCAGGATTTTTTTTATTACACACCTAGGTGCGTTGAACAGCAAACGGGGTGAACCCTTTCAGTGGTTGAAACC